GCTGGATCAATGCTGGCTTTGTTTTTGAGTTAGTGGAGCAAAGTTTCGTAGATGTAAAATTTGGTTTTTTTAAAAAATAAGTTGATTTATTTTTTATCTCCGAAGTGTGAATTTGTCCGTTTAAGGGTGGTTTTGGTCGATTTAAAAAAAAACTGAGGGTGATGGAGCAATTCTGACCTCAGATTCGGTTTCAGCGGGCCAAAATACTATAGGAAATATATGTGTAGTTCAAGAAACAGACAACTTTTTTTTTTGTGTGCCTGTGTAATCAATTCTTATATTAATTCGTTAAAAAGTATTTACTTAATTTTATAATTGCAACTACTTTGGGACTGTCCATAAAGTACGTTACAAATTTTTCATACTTTTTAGACCTCCTCCTCCCCTAAAATAGGTAACGTAGTTTATGGACGGCCCCTTAAGGCAAAATAATTTTTTAAAAAAACTTTTTAACGATTTCAAAACTTTCTTAAAAAATAAATTTAAAAGAGCAAGGCAACAATAATTTTTTTTAATCTTTTCACGTTTCTATATTTTTATTACAAGAAACATAAAATCCAAAGTCAACAATATTTAATAATAATCTTCGGAATGAAGTAAAAATATTTTTTTGCATTTTTTAACGAGTTTAAAACTTTTCTTTTATGGAAAAATTACAATGCAGCCAAAATAATAATTCTTCCAATTTTTTCAACATGTTTTCATTCTTTTTCTATCGATAATTTTAATTTATTAGCAAAATAATAATATTCGTCATTTACTATATTAGTTGATATCAAATTTATAATCAGCATCCTCCGAAACTCCCGAGTAACAAGTTTCAAATTATTCCATTAAAATCATTGTCTAAATAAACATTTTGTTTTTTAACCTTTAATATTAAATTATTTAATTTGTTTATAAGATATGAACTTTTTTCCGTTTATTTTTACTTCGTTTAGGAAAGCAGTGTTTTGAACTAAAGGATCTTGTGTAGGTTCCTACATAAAATCCTATATAGGATCTCATGTAAGAATTCATCATACAGAAATATATTATAAAAATCCATTTAAAATCTTATGTAGGATCATATATAAAATCCTATATAGGATCCTTTATTGGATTTCATGTAAGAATTCATCACATAGGAATTTATGTGGGATGTCATATGAGGATGTCATTGTTTTAATTGTCCATCTAAGATACCAAGTCGGAAATTATATGAGAAATTATGTCGGAAATTATATAGGAAATTATATAGGAAATTATATAGGAAATTCAAATATCGATGTATATCATCATAGTTCCACTTTTACTCCGCCAGATGGTGCTAATTTTTTTTTCTCACAGTTGAGATCAGTCTTGAATACTATAAAAGCTGAGACTCTAACTCAGAAGGTGTATTGCAAAGCACAATTTCTTTTCTTTTCAGCTGAATTACAGTAATATTATTTGAGTTTTAATTAAATAATTTTTAATTTTTATAAACTGCCGTCTGCCAACTGAAAATTCCTATATGAAATCCTATATTGTTTCCTTTATATAATTCTATGTGAAATCTTAAATATAAATATTTCAGAATCTACATGAAATCCGTGAGGATTTTCAATATGATTTCATGTCAGATTATTTGTAATAATTTTTTATTCAAGAATCGAAAAAAGATTTGATGTATGATTTGATATAGGAAAATTTCTGGTTAAGGATTGAGCAATGAATTTTGGTATCTTTTTAGTGAGAAAACACGAAGGAAATTGACATAAGAAATTGAAAGAAAAAATGTGACCAGAAAAAATTGTAGGATTTCACATAGGAATTTACATAACTTATTACATAAGAATACGTTTGTAAGAATTTACATCGAATCCTACTTCAAATCATGTCTCAATTTCCTATATGATTTTTCAAAGGATCCTATATAGTTTCTTACATGACACATAGGATTTTATGTGGATTTTAATATATGAATTTATGTGAGATCCTATATAAGATCCTATATGAGAATTTTCAGTAGGGCGTAGAATGATTCATATAAAACAAATAAAATTTTAAATTATTATTTTTAGAAATTTAATCAATTTCTTATCTATACCTCTGTATATACCTACACAGAAAATTAAAAGGCATTAAAATAAGCTGCAACGCTTATTATTTTAATCCAATTTTGCTTATTTTAATACTAAAATGGATTAAAATAAGCAGAATTGGATTAAAATAATAAGCGTTGCAGCTTGTTTTAATGCCTTTTAATTTTCTGTGTACCTACAGATTTTTTTAAGAAAAAAGAGGGAAAGAATAAATTTTTCGTACAATTTTACTGAAATTTTCTACAGGAAAAAAAAATTTATTACATATTATATTGTTTTATTATTTAGTTCAATTAATTCCGGTACATTTGGCTTACCTTATATATATATATATATATATATATATATATATATATATATATATATATATTATATGAGAGATTCTTTTTCAATCGCCCCAGCCCAAAAAGTCAATGTTCTGGGATTGGCTTCATACTTTGGTAAATTGTTCTCCTATATGATAGTAATAAATCCCTAAAATATAAACTCATTAAAAAAATATTTGTAGAAAGTAGAGGGGGTTGAAGTTTTGACGTTAAGGGTAACATTGTCATTTTCAAATCCGTATAACTATGACAAAAGTTAATGGATTTTAATTTATCTATAATGAATTTTAATGCATTTTTCACGTACTTTTCAAAAATGTATACAAAATTAAAAAAAAAAATTTTTGACCCCTTTTTTTTCAAAATCAACCCTTATTTTTCGATTTTCACCCCTTCGGGTATTTTTTTTTTTTTATTTTCATTGGAAAGCTGAGGTTTTTTCCCATGAGCTATGTAAATATGAAAATGGGACAACAATAATTTTGTGAGAAACAGAATATTAAAGCAGGCGGTGCCTACCTAAATCCTCGAAGATGATCTTTAGGTATACCAGTTATCGGCACCGCCTACAATAATATTCTGTTTCTCCCAAAATTATTGTTGTCCCATTTTCATATTTACATAGCTCATGGGAAAAAACCTCAGCTTTCCAATGAAAATAAAAAAAAAAAATACCCGAAGGGGTGAAAATCGAAAAATAAGGGTTGATTTTGAAAAAAAAGGGGTCAAAAATTTTTTTTTTAAATTTTGTATACATTTTTGAAAAGTACGTGAAAAATGCATTAAAATTCATTATAGATAAATTAAAATCCATTAACATTTGTCATAGTTTTACGGATTTGAAAATGACAATGTTACCCTTAACGTCAAAACTTCAACCCCCTCTACTTTCTACAAATATTTTTTTAATGAGTTTATATTTTAAGGATTTATTACTATCATATAGGAGAACAATTTACCAAAGTATGAAGCCAATCCCAGAACATTGACTTTTTGGGCTGGGGCGATTAAAAAAGAATCTCTCATATATATATATATATACTAGAGGGGCTTCGCCCCCCTGCGCGCTTCGCGCGCCAACCCCCCTATTTTTGGCGGGAAATACAGAGAGATGAGGGAAGGGGGAAGGACTTGCGGCTATATTCAGACCCTTGAAACGAACATAACCTCAAAATTTAGGTCATTTTTGATGAAGGAGGTGAAATGAGAGGAGGGAGGGGGACTTGCGGCTATATTCAGAGCCTTGAAACGAACATAACCTCAAAATTAGGTCATTTCTGGCGGGGGAGGGGACTTGCGGCTATATTCAGAGTCTTGAAACGAACATAACCTCAAAATTTAGGTCATTTTTGACGGAGGAGGGGAAATGAGAGGAGGGAGGCGGACTTGCGGCTAAATTCAGAGCCTTGAAACGAACATAACCTCAAAATTTAGGAGGGGGGACTCCCCCCTCCTAGGTCAAGAATTCTTGAAACAGCGGCGGCGGCGGAGGCGGCGGCGGCGATATCTTTTTGTAATATAGGAAGATATATATATATATATATATATATATATATAAATTATTTTGGTCATCCACATATGTTATATGTCGAGCTACGCTCGCATGGGAACTTAAAAACAAAAATGATTTTATCAGGTGCAATTAAAAAAAAATTAAATTTGTAATTTATAACGATAAATGAATGAGATAACCTTTGAAACTTTTCAGTCAATCAATTACAGCTAAATCGATAATGGTCGGCCCAACTGTGGGCCACTAATTGGCCGAGTTTCTCCTCAGAAAATTTAAATATTATTATTATTAATTATTAATTAATTAATTAATCTGTGTTTTTTTATTCTCTCATAGGAGGATTTAGGTTTACTCATTTTATAAGTCAAATAAAACAAATTATCTCAGATTAAAAATTACATTCGTTTTTTATTATTGTAATTAAAATACCAGTCAAACGGTGTTCATTGAAAAGTCCATCCACAATAATCTTGATATATACCGACTGCCGACAACCATCGGCCCGACTTTGGCCAGAGTTGGCCCGACCTTTTAGAATTAGGGTTTTTGAACTTTGGCAATCACAGTCGGTCCAACTTTGGGTGAAAGTAGGAACCAAAGTCGGGCCAACTTTGGCTGCCGATGTTTCGGCAGCTATAGATGGATCGACCAAGGCCTGACGTACCAACTATGGCTGCCAACCTAAATTCGCACCTGGGTATATATTAAACGATGTGATTCTTTACCACTTGCGAGAAACAGGGGGGATATTTCGTGATGTCAAAAGTTCAGATTTTTTCTCAATAATTTTTATATATTGAAGAATTATTTTAGTATGTTTAGGACTTTATTATTATTATTTTATTTATCAGATGTAAAAAAATACATTATTTAATTTAAATACCAAATGTTTCAATCAAATTATTTCTATTAGCTAAATTTTTAAAAATAATTTTGAAGTATTTTTTAAACAATAGAGTAGAGTAGTATAGTATATATATATAGTATCACTATTTGGCTATTATTTTTGTGTTTTATGACTTAGAAATTTTATCTTTCACGTCAACTATACTTATGGTAGTGTGCATATATGCCATGATTTTCGAATCGATTGCGCATACTTTCCGCGCACCGTTTAACTCGAACTCGTTGACAAGTATCTGTGATTCACATTATCTATTGCCCAGTTTTAAGTTCTATTACAAAAGTAACTAGGTTTCTAAAAAGTCTTCGACTTTCTTCTACAGTATCTGTCAAAGTTATAGAACTTTTATAACCTGAGCAAAATATTCATTTAGATCCGAGACTTCTCGATTACCTAGTCGCTTAAATTCTAAGCGACAAATTTTTTCCGTGTAACAGATTACATTAGGGCAATTTTTAATTATTTTTTCTCATACTTTATTCATTTATGGAACATGTTCAATATTTATTACTTGTGAGTATAATGAAACATTTCATTCTAATTATAAAATAATATAATATAAATTAATTATAAAATACATTAATCATCCAGACGAATTTTGTAAATATATTTTTTTTATATATACTTTTTTCATGTTTTTGAACAATCAATCGTATGGATTTTTAAAAATTTTAATATTTTCAAAAAATAAAATTTCTAAAATATCAAAAAAAAATTTATTAAAAATTTTAATAATTCACAATAATTTTAGATCTCAAATAATGCCACATAAAAATTGTCACCTCTTAACAACATTAATTTCTCCGCTTAAATTCATTATTTATAATTATTTATATTTTAACATTTTCTATATTTTTAAAATATAAAAATAATTAAAATTTAATTGTCAAATTAAATTTTATTGTTCTAGAATTTTTGCCGTCCACTTAATAATTTTATTAATAATAAATAAATACAAAACACTTGTTTTCGAAAGTGATGTTGAAAATAATATTTCGGAAGTTTGTGAAACTAAGGAATGCCACTCATTAGGTAAGTTTATTATTATTCATATTGGAAAATTAAAACAAATATACGGTAAAAGTACCAATTATGGAACAACTTTTCAGATAGGTTTTGAGATTTTATTGTATTTGAACCATTAACTTAAGAAAATAATACGAAATTTTTTGCTGCATTAAAAAGGTGTACCGTCTTTAGTTGTTAAAACAGTGTTTTTAATATCATTTATATATTAAAATAATAAATTATTGATAGAATTGTAAATAACAAATTTGTACCAATTATGAGACATGAATTTTATGATGCACCTTTGTCCCATAAATGCAGTAATTTTTTGTACGAATGTATATGAACTACTTAAACATAGAAAGCTTATATTTGTGTCCAATCAAAATTTGAAGGGTATGTTAGATTCAATTGAATATTTTCAACTTTTAATTATTTGTCATTGTGTAACGAATGTAATGATAAAATAAACTGTTGGATTAGCTCGCCGGATCAGGGTTCGTTTTTAAGCAACAATATTACATTAAAATTACAGACACAATTCAAAAAAATAACGTTTATTTACAAAAAAGAACGATGACATAACCTTAAAAATTATATACTTGACAAATATACTACACGATTACAATTTAAATACGAAATGGTCAAAATACGGATTGCATTACTCCACGTTACGTTACGTTCCCTATTTTGGAGGAACGGAAGCGACGATGAACAACTACGCCATGGGTTACGTACAAAACGGGAACGCGCTCTCTAAATCTGAATAAGTGAAATTTCACTTAAAATGTGTCAAAAGTCTTCCACGTAGAAAAATAAGTGTATATGCACTTAAAAATAAGTGAAACTTCACTTATTTTTGAGTGAAAACCACTTATTTAAAAGTGCATATACACTTATTTTTCTACGTGGAAGACTTTTGACACATTTTAAGTGAAATTTCACTTATTCAGATTTAGAGAGCGAGATCGCGGTAAAACCGCTTCGATATCTCCAACAGGTAAAACCTCGTGGAGACGAGAGAAATGCTCTCTTTACGATACTTCGGAGTAATGCTCCTTAATAATTGGGGAAAAGCCCTAGTCTGAGGGAAATGCCCTCACCGACTCTGTGAACCACAAGAGTCTCGATTTCCTGCGGGAGTGCAGCTTATATAGCCGATCGGTGGCCGGGACATTTGCGAGAGAGCTCGGCGGTATAGCTCTCGCGGCGCGATCGGGTACTACGATATACTTCACAGTCGGTAACATTTTATCGACATGGAGTATATATTTTTATCGACGTGGGGAAAATATTTGTTACAAATATTTACCCGCGAATTTTCAAACAATCTTTACAATTGTCTATTTATGTACTGTATAATTAAAATAAATAAATAATGATTTTATTTCTGAATCATAATAATTGGTAGTTTTACCTTATTTTAATATAGAAATGCTATTAAAAACACTGTTTTAGCAAGAGACATACACCTTTTTAATACATACATACCTAATTGAACATTATTTTTGATAACGTTTCAAAAACATAAATTTTTCTTTAATTTTTAAACTACGCACACAATTATTGAAAATGTGTTTAACAATAATATTGTGTTTTACAGCGGAATCAATTAAAAAGGGAATGAATGATAGCGTAAATCCTTGCGATGACTTTTATTCCTACGTATGTGGTTCATGGCAATCTAATTATCCGGTTCCTGAAGGCGAAAAATTCTGGAATTTATTTAAAATAAATAATGAAGAAAGAAAATTTATTCTAAAAGGTAGGATAGAGAGGGGCAATGGCGCTATATACAGAGATTTTTTATTTAAAAATTTAATAAAATACCCGTTTCAATTTAGGGAAAAAGAGAAAATTATTTAAGTTTCATACAGTCAGTTTTAAAAATAAAAATTCTCGATTATCAAAATCAAATTGAGTGTAAATTTTGTACTCAATTTGAAATTATGTTTTTTCTGTATAAGGAAATTTATATTTTTTTACTCTTCATTATGGTATTTTTTCAGAAATTATAGAAAAGCAACTAAGTCCTGAGGATATTGAGCCATTAGTTAACGAGAAAAAATTGTACAAATCTTGTATGGATGAAGGTAATTATTTTATGAAATTTTAATTTAAATTTCTATACCTAATGATGAAAAACTTTACTTGTTCCAATATTAATTTATTTTTTCGTTCTTATCATTTATAAAATTATCTAATTTTTTTATGAGTCTAATTCATGTTCAACAATTTTCAGTGATAAGAATATTTTTCTTTGACAACAAAACATTTTGTTCATAAAACACAAAGGTTTTAAGATGACTGAACAAAATTTTTGTTTCTTAAATCAATGCAGCAAACTGTTTTGCTGTCAATGCCAAATATTTTTTTCCGTACACTGAAAACAAAATTTATATTTAATTTAAATAAGTTTATACCTGATTCGTTATGTATTTTCAAGAAAGTTTTTTTTCTAAACACCATTTAATTGGAATCAAGTAATTTTTAATTAAAACAAATAAAATTAATTTTAATCAATAATTTTTTTTGTATTTCAATCAAATATTTATTATTTAACTCAAACACCTTCAGAACGATAATAATTATTCATTGCAGAAAATATCTGCTTTGATGATAAATATAGCCGATTGTTGTTAAATCAAATAATTTTTATTTTCAATGAAATAGCAATAATATTTAATGAAAACTTGAAATTAAAAAATATATTATGAATAATTTTAGATAGAATTAAGAAAAGAGGATTGGAACCGTTAAAGAAAATTATAGACAAGATTGGTGGTTGGCCAATGGTTATGAATACAACTGAATGGGAAAAAAAAGAAATCACTTGGCAAGATGTTGTTTATTATTATGTCGATATTGTAGGAGGATATGGTTTGTTTACTATACATACTGTATATAATCCAAAAAATTCCACACTTAACATGATTATGGTAAGAAGCAATTAATCTTTTACAATAATAAATATCTACATATTGAGCTGAATTGGTCAAATTTAGTAAAAGTCACTGACTGAAATCATGAAAAGTAAATCACTGAATTAAAATCAGTGAAATTTTCACTAATTCAGTTTTAGAGAGTATGAAACAGCAAAATGCCAATTTTACGATAATAAAATGTACATTACAAGTTTTATAATATTGCAGATTACTCAAGAAAATGGGTTTCTGCCTGACACCATTTATTTGAAAGATATGAAAAGTAGTCATTATTATAATGAATATATTTCATACAGTCATGAAAATAACAATAAAACAGAAGATAAAAAGATTCTAGACAGAGCAATTTCTAAATATTCAGAATCCGAAGGAATGAGGGACGAAAAAGAAATCGAAATTGAAAGTAGAAATTTGTATGAGTTTATTGAATCCTTAAAGAAGGTAATAATCGCATTAATTTCAAATTATATTTGAAGAAATGAAAATTGTATTATTAATCAATTTATTCTTATTAGATTAAATTAACTCTAAATGAAAGAAGAGAATCTGGATATCAAATAATGCGAATAAGCTATTTTCAGAATTTTTATAACCATAACAATACTAATGAAAGCACGATATCAAAGGTAAAAAAATGTTATTTCTTGTTATTACGGATATTTAGCTCAAACGAAAATTTATTTAACTCTTCAATTTATATTAATATATTGGTATCATCCTACTACACTGAAAAAAGGGTTTGGTTATGACAACCAAACGTTTGGATGGTATTTAAACAACCAAATTTTTTTTGTTGAATCAACAAAACTTGAATTGTCTCAATCAAAATTTGTTTGACACAACCAAAATTATAAAAAAAGGATTTTTGTTGTCCTAAATAAAGTTTGATTGGGACAACCAAAATTTTGTTGATTCAATAAAAAAATTTTGGTTGCTTAAATACTAACCAAACGTTTGGTTGTCAATAGCAAACCCTTTTTTTCAGTGTATGATTATTATTTTTGTCGTTAATAACTTTAGTTTATATTTATTGTTTTTAGATTAATTGGCTCGAAATGATTAAAGCCGTTTACAATAATACAGATGTTGTTATTGATGAATCAGAAAAAATAATTTTACTTGACAAAACTTACTTCAATAAATTAAGTCAACTACTAGAAAAAACAGCTCAAAGAACAATTGGTACAATAAAAATAAAATATTTTAATAAATTATATACATATATATATATACATATTAAATTAACTAATTAAGGAGGGCTAAGAATTAATCAGATCTGATCATTTTTTTTGTTTTTTGTAAAAATAGTGAAAAAATCGCACTTTTTTAAAAAAGTGTACGCCATTTTGTCATTTTTAAATTTTTGACTATTTTATAGATATAACCTACTCTTTAGGATGTCTACTTTATAAACTTCGACAAGTTTATTATTCACGATTGCTATGATAACAAACTTTATTATTAAAAAATAATAATTACATTAGATAAAATTGATTCCGTAAAAATGCATTCGGTAAAAAAGTATTTAGGAAATTGTATTTGGGAAAAAAGTTTTCGGGAAAATGTACGAGAATCCGATAAGAGGAGCCTCCTCTTAAATTAAATAATGTAAAATTTTAATTAAAATATATAAATCTTTTTCAGTCAATTACATTCATTGGATCTTTATACGGGAGACCCTTCCATATTTAGATAAAGAAATAAAACAATTCATTTATGACACGAAGAAAACTGCTGATGTAGGAATCATCAAACCATCAGAAAGGTCAAATAATTTCGAAATTTTCTATACTTTTTTTTAGTTTTAAAAGGATAGTTTTTATATCAGCACAAGAATCCCCAAGTCATATATTAACGCAAAAGTGCAGTTTAGTCCCTTTTAACTATTCAAAACACATATATGTTGTTGTTCATCTATTTTTAAATTGAAATTTTCAAATTGTTAGGTGGGAATATTGTTTCAATAGTTTGCCATTCAATTTCGGAACGTCTTTTGAATTCATAAAACGTCAATTTCCTAACACGACAAAAGAATCCGTAAGTTATGATTAAAATACAATAATATATAATACAAATAATTTACATTGACCACAGAGTCACAAGTAATGAAATATATTAATTTCTGGTTGGAATAGGCGACAACCATGGCTAAAGAAATCCAACATGAAATTGAAGTAGAAATGTCGAACTCTAATTGGTTGAATAATGAAACAAAGAACCTGGTTAAGGAAAAACTTAAGGCAATGAAGTTTGTAATTGGTTATTCAGAATCGTATTTTTCGAAATTAAATTTAAGTGATAAAAATATAAAAGATGAGGTATGCTAATATAATTAAACACTAATTATTTCATCAAAAAATTATAAAATTAAAATTTACTATATTTTTTGTAATTCTTTTTTTTTCGTTTATTGGGTAAAAATAATTTTAATTTATATGTAAACGAAAGGACTACAAAGCTTCCTCCACGAGGAAGCAAGCAAGATTTTAACCCCTTTAAATTACAAAAAATATAGTAAATTTTATAATTTTTTGCATGAAGTTTATAAAAAGTTCAATTGATAAGTTATGAGCTTTTAAAAATAAAACAGTATGCTATTCTTTTATGTTCATTTAACGAACATTTTGCTTCCTCATTGTGAAGCAAAAAATTTCTGAAATTATTTGATTGATTTAAATTGATTTATTTATAAGATTTCGAGTTGAAAAAAATGTCTTAAATACATTAAAATGAATTAAATTTTTTGAAAAATTAAGAAAATTTTAATTAATATTTCCTCTCCAGATTCCGTTAGGTCCAGATTATTTCGAAAATCAAATCTCTTTTTCTAAATATATAAGTTTTACAAAAGCCAAAGAGCTTCGTGAACTAAACACCAATGATTCGGAACCGTAAGTCATTACTATGTATTAATTTCATGTAATTAGATTAGGTTATTTAACTTTAAAGCAAATATAATTTTAATGTATTTTTACAGAGTTATTATGTCACCAATTTCCTATAATGCTTTTTATTATCCAAGCACGAATAGTTTGAGTAAGTTCAAAGAAAATTTACTTTTGTTTAAATGTAAAATACGTTTTGATAACTTTTTTTTATTGATATGAAGTAACTGTGGGATATCAATTACTGCGCTTTCTTTAAAACCTGTTTGTTGCATCAAGGGTTACAATTTTGAATTTATTTAATTCCATCATTAAATTCGGATTCAGCGACACCAAAAACCTTTAATACAATGAAATAATATTTTTTTGGGAATTTTTTTTTATTGTTTTGGGTCCAAAAACGATGATTTTTACACTAGACTGCGAAGGGCTTAAACTATATTATTATTAATTTTATTCTTTAAAATTAAACCTTGATTAATTTGTTCAAATATATTTTATTTTTGGGATTTTAATTTTTGTATAAATATATCTATAAACAACACTAGTAATTGGCAAATTTATCCGAAAATAATAATTTTAGAGTATATAATTAAAAAAAATTTTGCAATATACTTAAAGATATAAGTAATTTTCTTTAATATTAATGTTAATTTGTTGAATAGATGTTGCAGCTGCACTATTTTTACTTCCCATATATAATTCGAATTTACCTCAGTAAGTATTTCTATATTTTCAATTACTAAAGTATTAATACTTCACCATTTTATAAAAAGAACTGTACTCTCTAAATTTGAATCAGTGAAATTTCACTAATATGAAATAGTAGGAATTGATCAACTGAATAACATTAGTAAAATTTCCACTGAAATTCAGTAATATTTCACTGAAAATTAGTAGAATTCTTTACTGATTAAAATAGTTAAATCTATTTTACCGATTAACAATAATGTACATTTGACTGTTTAAATCAGTAATAATTCTTTATTACTGGTTTTCAGTTAAATGTGACTGAATTTCAGTGAAAATTTACTGAAATAATTCAGTTGGTAAATTTTAACTACTTTGTCAGTGAAATTTCACTGATTCAAATTTAGAAAGTAAAAAGTTTCAATTTATTATAAAAAAACACTCTTTTAATAACTTGTACTTATTATTTTAACGAATTTTCTCATATATTTGTATTTAAAAAATTCTTAAATAACCGTATTAAAAAAAAAACTTTCCTCTTTATTTCAACAGTGCGATAAATTACGGATATATAGGTTATACAATAGGTCACGAAATGACTCATGGATTTGATAACGAAGGTAATTTGATACACATATAATTTTAAATATTATATAGTATAATTAAGACCATTTTAGAAAAAATTATCTATACTCGGTTGCTTAATGATTTAAGAGGGGAAACTCATATAAATGCACGTTTTTTCAAGATATTTTATAAAAAAAGTGGTAAAGTTTATTGAATTGAAATAAAGCATACCTTGAAGTGTACAATATAAGCTATGTATAATAATTTTTTAAATTAAAAATATTGCAAAATGGAGATTGGCTACTGGTCTCAAATATTAACCATAATCAAAAAATCAAATCTTTATCGTTTAAGTACACAAATACACTTTGCATGACGAAGAGAAAATTAAAAAAAAACTTATTTAAAAATTTGGGACTATTTTGAAAAAAATCAATTTTTTTCATAAACAATCTACAAAAAAAACTTTTTTTTAAAAAAAAGCTGCTCGGTATGCAATAGACAGTAAGTTAAAGAAGATTTCTGGTAACTTTACATTTATATGCAAATTTTGATTAATTGCATTCTTAATTTTTTTAAAATTGAACTTCTTTAACAATTTTTACTATTTTTTATAGCCAATTTGTTTTTACACTTTTTTTATAATTTTGAACAATCAATCGTATAGATTAGAAAATTTTTTTCATTATTTAAAAAAATAAAATTTCTAAATTTATTATTATTATTTATTTTAAATGTGTATATTATTTTTAACATTAGGACGAAGATTTGATAAAAATGTAAATGACATTTCTTGGTGGTCAAACGAAATGATTGCTGAATATGATAAGAGGGCCAAATGTTTTGTGGATCATTATAATAATTATACAGTAAATGAAACTTAATTGAATATTATTGAAACAACACTTTGAATGAGATATAATTGAAAAATAAAAATTTTTATGTAAATTAGGTAGACGGAAATCTAACTCAAGGTGAAACTATTGCTGATACCGGAGGGTTGATTGCAGCTTATGGAGCTTACAAGCAAAAAATGAAGAAAGAAAATATTAAAGATAAACGTTTACCAGGATTAGAAAACTTGGATTCAGATCAATTGTATTTTGTTTCTATGGCTTTTGTAAGTCTTGTTTATGGTTTCAGAATGTTTATGATGATATACGCAATTACTAATATTTAATTTTATTTATTAGGTAAATTGTGAGAGCGGAACACCAGAATATTTTGCACTAGAAAATACTGATGTTCATCCAGACTCGAATTTGAGAATAAATGGACTCATGCCAAACGTAAAAGGATTTATTGATGCATTTAAATGTGACGAAGAACCAATATGCAAAATATGGGATTGATTAGATTCAATTTTATCTTAAAATAATAGTAGTAATATTTTTAATTATTTTTTAATTACAAGTGAAATTCATCTATGACCTTATAAATTTATTTTTATTATATATAAAAATAAATTTATAAGGTCATAGATGAATTTCACTTGTAATTAAAAAATAATTAAAAATATTACTACTATTATTTTAAGATAAAATTGAATCTAATCAATCCCATATTTTGCATATTGGTTCTTCGTCACATTTAAATGCATCAATAAATCCTTTTACGTTTGGCATGATATATATATTATATATGTTAACAAAAAAAGAAAAAAAAATGTTCAATTTGTGTAGAAAACATAACAATTTTTTATAAACTAATTATTTTTTTTGGTTTAATTTTGGACCCGACTTTTTTTCATTCTTTTATTTTTACATACCTGGAAGTATTAAGAAGGTTTTGTATAAATTTTTAGTATTGGACTAATTTGTATTTTGAAAAATGAAAAAATGTTGTTTAATCAAATTATTTAAACAAAAAGTATCGTCAGAGGCCCACTCTCTGAAACTTTTTGTAAAGTCTTCTTAGTACTTCGAGGTATGTAAAAAATAAAAAAAAGCCGGGTCCAAAGTTAAAAAAAATTAATTTATTTATAAAAACAGGTTATTTTTAATATATAAATGTAAAAAAAACAATTTTTCTTCAACATACTTCGAGAAACTGAAACTTTTTTTTCTCGTGACAAAAATTCAATACTTTTAAAGTTAAGTGTCATTAAAAATAATAATAATAATAATAATAATAATAATAAATACGTTTACTATTTTTTCTGTAAAGAACGAAAAAAAATATGTTTATCCAAATTTAAGAGGTTATTTACATAAATTTCACGTGGAATTGACCATTTAAATATGAGGCAAAATTTCTCAAGTGATCCAATAGCAAAAATATGAACATTGAATTTTTTAGATGGTTTTTTTCTACTCCTCCGAGTAGTGCAACAATTTTTTTAAAAAATTCCAGTACCACTTTTTTTGGAAATCAAAAATTTTTTTTTTAAAAAAAGGACATTTTTTTTCTTTTTTTTACCCCTTAAATTGATTCTCAAAATATATACCTATCTACTTTTAATAAAAAAAATTAAACAAAATGCCGTTTTTTTGTTTTTGAGATATTAATTAATTAATCTTATTAAAAAAACGGCATTTTGTTTAATTTTTTTTATTAAAAATATAAATTTTTTGATAACAATCAATAAATGGCGTCAGTCAAGAAAAAACAGTAACGTCACAGTTACGTGTTCTTTTAGACCCAGTTTCTTTTTCCTTTTTTCTAATTTAAACAATCGATCGGAGTTATCGATATTATAAACTGCATTATTATAATTTAAATGTATACGTAATTATATTTATATTTTTCTACTTTATAAAGAATTAAATTAATCTCAATTTTTATTCGAACATATATCCCATACATAAGTATATAATATGTACGGCCCTGAGTGTTTCCACTTTTTGACAAAACCTTGACGTCAAGGGTAACCTCCATCCATTGCACATAAGACTCGCGCGCTGCAATATTGTTGGAGGTTCCAGTGTAGAAGAAAATTTGTTTTTGAATTGAATAATTTTAGAAATTTTGCCTCATATAATATGTATAATAAATATAATATTAAAACGAAGTGTTAAAAGTTGACATGGTAGACAGTGGTATATTATAGGATATAAAGGGAAGTAAAATGTTGTAATAAAAAGAAAAAGAAGGCGCATTTTCAAATGTAAATGAAGCAATAATCATATACTCCCTCAGCAAGTTTCTTTTTTTTATGAGCCCTTAACCTCTTCCCTTTCCTCATTTCAAGTACCCCCTTTTAGCAAGAAATTCCTATGGATAAAAAAGAAGCCTTGAAAGATTCATCTCTGTATCTACTATACGTTATCGACGGCGTAACGGTAGGTAATTAAAAGGAATTACACGAACGAAGCGCTCTGAGTCGGTTAATTACCGCAAGTATAACGAGGAAAGGAAGAAGAGTATATATGTGTATATACAGAAAGCACTTTCTTAGCAGTTGGTGAGAGTATATAATCGACGAGAGGCTAAAAACTTATTTCCGTCGCGTAAAGTCATTAAACGAACGCGTAACTTATGCCAGGTGGAGGAGTTTAGAAAGGGGTTCTGTTTTCTATTTCTCAATGTAATCATATATACATATGTTATGCATTTCTAACAAATTTTCATTTTCTTATATTGGCTCAAGGATTAGTTGAAAAATATTGAATACAAACCCCCTGGGGCGCATGTATATTAGATAAACTTGATATTAGTTACATGAAAAAAAAATATTCCACTAGGGTAAGTGTATGAATTACTATAGTCTACTTCATCAGAGTTATTTTTAATTTTAGTTTTTTATAAATATTAGTTTATTTTTAATAAATTCAAATTGTTTAAATTATTATGAAATATATACAATATTATTTTCTCGTTTGTAATAAATAATAATTGTTTAAACAATAATAATGTTAAATTGTAGTAACAATTCGGATTATCCGAGTTTTCGCCTTATCCGAGGTAGGTTCGGTCCACATTAGCTCGGATAACCGGAGTCCTACTGTAAGTATAATTATAATGCTCTTATTGACAATTTTATTAATCACTTTCTTCACTACACTGAATTTTGAAGTACTAAAATTAATTTTATTATGAATTTTAAGAAAGAGAGAAGCGAAAATTATTTATAGTGAGCAGTTGAATAAGAAAAAAATTGTTTGGAGATAAATAAAAATACACTAACCTTTATTTATGTTCGTTACAGTAGCAGATTCAAAGTAAGTTCACAATCACAACGCTTGAAAATTTTTAATTATTTTTATGGTTCAAATGACTATCAATAATTTAATTACACTACCGTCCGAAATTGTGCGAACGCTTACACCGCGAGTCATTGAAAAACATACTCGCGTGAAAATAAAGATAACTCTGAGAGAAATTAACGTAGAGACTTTTCCCTTATAGCGTTGGAAAGCTTATTAAATTTCGAAAAAAATGATACCTATTTGAATGAGATTGCTTAAATAGGTTTAAATATATCATGTTACAAAGTTGAAAAAATAATTGTAATTTTTTGCTTATTTCCTACCTTGACTTTAACCTCTTGCATGGTCCAGGAAAATCGACGAAAAAAATTGTCCTTTAACATAATTATTCCTTGAAATCTAAGCTTTCCATTGATTCCAAGAACAATAAAAAATGTTGACGGGTTTGCCAGTAATTGAAAAAAAGGACGAGCGTGCACGAAAAAAAATTCGACCGTCAATCGCCCGATTTTTCCGTCTCGCTGCCTCTTTCGTTTGTGCGCCAGGGCCGAAACAGAGGATTTTGATTAGGTGCTTTCCGGGCACCATTAATTTCATTATTTTTGCCTTTTTGTGAACATAAATTATTTGTATAACGCGAAAGATATCATAATTGTTTTATAAGTTAATTATACAGTTATTAAAATTAAATAAATGTAATAAAACTTATATATTACATTATTAAAAAATTCAATTTGGCCAACGAGGTTTTTGATTCTTAATAATAAATTGTTTAATGATTATAAATATATTTTAATTTTTACAAAACTTTAATTGTATAATTATTTTATTTATGATTGATTAAAAAATTAATATCTTTATGTATGTGAAATATTTTTTTCTCTTGCAGTCAATATCAATTTTTCAATTTCTGCTTTATGACTGTTATTATTATTAATTAACTTATAACACAATTATGATATCTTTCGCGTTATACAAATAATTTATGTTCACAAAAAGGCAAAAATAATGAAATTAATGGTGCGTCCTTTTTTTCAATTACTGGCAAACTCGTCAACATTTTTTATTGTTTTTAGAATCAATGGAAAGCTTAGATTTCAAGGAATAATTATGTTAAAGGACAATTTTTTTCGTCGATTTTCCTGGACCATGCAAGAGGTTAAAGTCAAGGTAGGAAATAAGCAAAAAATTACAATTATTTTTTCAACTTTGTAACATGATATATTTAAACCTATTTAAGCAATCTCATTCAAATAGGTATCATTTTTTTCGAAATTTAATAAGCTTTCCAACGCTATAAGGGAAAAGTCTCTACGTTAATTTCTCTCAGAGTTATCTTTATTCTCACGCGAGTATGTTTTTCAATGACTCGCGGTGTAAGCGTTCGCACAATTTCGGACGGTAGTGTATAAATGAAATTTAAACATTGCACTTGATAAATTTTTTTCATGCTTTGTCAGTTAATAATTTCCTATCGCACAATGTCTTAATTGCCCAGTTGACATTTGTAAACAAACAAGGTTGGAAAGCAAGAACCCAAAATATCTGCGTTCAAAGCAAAGTTGGGTAGGATGTATTGCATTGTGAACACAGCATAAACAGTTAAATATAATTTCCGAAAATTACTGTTGGACAAATTTTCATTTCTACCCAACTCTGCTTTGGACGAGAATAGAGCTATTGTTTCCTGACCCTGTTTGTTTACTAATGTCATCTTGTTATTAAAATATTGTGTGACAGAAAATTATTAATTAAATTAATTTACAATGCATAAAAAATATTGATATTGTCAAGTGTGTAATATTTAAATTTTGTTCATTTATAATTAAATTATTAATTTGTTGATAGTCATTTGAATCATAAAAATAAATTAAAAATTGTCAAGTGTGATTATGAACATAGCCCCGTAACATAACCTCAAACAAAAAAATTATTTTTCACAGAACTCAAAATATATATTTGAAATTTGTTAAATCAAATTTTGAAAGATTTAGTTGTACAATTTTCAAAAAAAAAAATTATTTTGAGTCCGGGCAAAAGAAATATTGAAAATTTTTTTAAGAATTTCCTTTTCGGCGACAAAATTTTTTATCGACAAAATCCTTCGTCAAACGAGAGTCAATACTATGTAGATGATAAAAAAAATTTGATTTTTTGTTTCCGATCACACAACAAACGTGAGATTTTATGTGACGGTTTAATTTAATTTAATGTACGAGTCATATTTT